CATCGTATGTCAAATATACCAAATATATTTCAAAAAGTAAACTATATTGTAATACACTAAACAATCAAATACTCACTATTTATTCTCTTGAGCTCTTCTGCAAAACAGGAAAATACAAATTAACTTCATTTCATTCTGTTTATTTAATTACGCCTTATTTAGGGTTAATTATGTTTGATTACGTTTAGTTTGGTTAAAACCTAAATTCATCGACACTTAAGCTCAGGAATATGAACTTGCAAGACCCTTTAATAAATTATATGCATTAGAAAGTGGTAAGCTATTATGATGTTTCGAATGTTATTTCTAAATGTTAATATGAGAACATATGACATATTAAGAAAATATGCACCCAGATGCCTTGAAGCTCTTACTTCTAACAGTTCACCAATTATTGGTGGCAATTACTAGTTAATGCAGACATGTCCCAATCTAGTTTACTGTAATCTTTATTTTGTCAGCTTTGAAATAAGATAAATCGAGAAAGCCAATTTAACGTATGCATTTTTTAGATAGGAACATGCAAGAACTGCTTGAACTTTTCAGGAAAAAAATGTGAGGTACCCATGATGGCTTGTATATGACGTCCACTTCAGATATGTCTTGATTGTTACTTTATAGGGGTCGCCCCGATATTCCGACACCCCATTAGTCCGACGCCCCATTGGTCCGACACCCCATTAATCCGACATCCCAAAAGTCCGACAAAGGTAAATTACTGAAATAGAACATATTCAAAGAATCATTATTGACGTGGTATATGAACTACTTTTTCTTATTAGAAACGGAAATAGATAATACCATACTACCCATTTGGTATTTAAGAAATACCATGACCATAGATATTTCAAGCATGATGATTTCTGGCCATCTACATTGTACACGAACGTATAGATCGAAAACTTTTAAAACTGAATTGTTAATTGATTTTTTATTTGAAAATTAGTGAGTTTAAAAGTTTATTAGTAAAATTAATCAATTGATGATAATTGGTTTAATATATAAAGACAATGTTGAGGTTGAAACTTCAACAAAACGGATAAAATTTGCTGTCAGAATGAACTTGTATTGAATAGCAATGAAACATTTGCCACTGGACTGTAAACAAAAAAACATATCGATCATGTACGAATAGTCATGGGAATGTACATCAACGATTTGATTTGTTATTGCATATTCATAAAACAACAAACCTTTTTTTTTTGTACATTGTTATTTTCATTCGTGTTCCTTGCTGTCCCTTAATAACACAACTAGTCTTTTCTTCCCGCTTTACGAATAATTGATTACCGGTCGAAATTTTGATTGAATAGCACAAGCAAACATGCTGTGTGAAAATAAGTTAACTCTAGCAACCCACACCACTTCTCTGACATTGACACAGGAATGAAATGAGAGTTAGATCGTAAGAACGCCTCATGAATAAACACAATTTTTAACAAAAACAAAGACCTTACATGTAACCCTCAATTATGTATCTTTTTTATTTAAAAAAAAATGCTTTGTGAAGGTGGGGAAACATGAACCCTTCCTTTTCAACCTATACTACCAGATTATCATGTCTCCATGCTACTCTTTATCACAAGGTAATTTTAGCTAAAAACACTTTGACTTGCGTACGAGTAAAATTTTGTATCAGTTGTTGACAAATATAAAAATTAGGAGATGTGGTATGACTGCCAATGAGACAACTATCCACCAAAGTTCAAATGGAGTGGATGTAAGCAGTTATAGGCAAATGTACGGCCTTCAACAATGAGAAAAACCCATACCGTATGGTCCGCTATAAAAGACCCCGACAATATATGAAAAATATGAAACAATTCAATTGAGAAAACTAACTGCCTAATTTATAACAAAATAATTTACGAAAATCAAATATGACAGACATGAACCAACGACAACCACTGAACCACAGGCTCCTACTTTGGACAGGCACATAAAGAATATGGCGGGATTAAACATGTTTGTAAGCGATCAACCCCCCCCCCCTTCCTCCTTCCTAACCTTGGAAGGCGGTGTAACAGTACAACATAAGAACTATAATAAACTGTTAACACAGAGATATGTCTCGCCTTTTGGTAAATTTGATAACGCAAATGTTGAAATTAAAATAGCAATACTTTAACATGTAAGTTATGCAAATATTCAAAGTCAATAGACCATGACTGAAGGTACATGGCTAAACAATCTCCATGGAAATAAGATGTGCCAATGATAATACAACTGCATACCAAATACCATTGACTTATCATAAGTCATTCCTTTTAAATACAAACATTAACTTGTAAACTATGTAAAAGTTTCAAAGTCAATGAACCATGATGAGGGGGTTGGGCTATATAATCTCCCATGGAAACGAGTCTTGCAAATGCCAATAAATTTGCATACCAAATATCACAGACTTAACATTAGCGCTTCATCTTAAACTGATCTAATCACAAACTAATACATGTAAACTAAGCTAAAGTTTCAAAGTCAATAGACGATGACTGAGGGGGCAGGACCAAATAATCTCCATGGAAATGAGATGTGCCAATGCTGATACAACTGCATACCAAATATCACTGACTTACCAGTAGTGGTTCACCATAAACTAGACCTAATCACAAACTAATACATTGTTGACGCCGCCGCCGACGCCGGAAACAACATACCTATGTTTCGCTTTTTGACTCCGTCAAGGCGAGACAAAAAACAGTTGTAAAAGGCTGAACTCATCAGATGGATACAAATAGAAATACATCTAACAAAAAACACAGAATGGACGTGGACGGGTACTTGTACAAATAGATTGTTTCTAGGTCAGAGCTGTTTTGGTCCATTTATGTAGAAGAAATGTAGTAATCACTTCAAATACTATCCTTCACTCACAGATATTGCTTCATATATGTTTTTAAAACTGACCTGTTAATTTAATTTATTTTTCATTCTTTTTTTTCCCAAAAAATTTCTACAAACAGTCATCATCCATATTATCGTTTAGTTAATACAATATAAAAAATTTTCTGACTTCGATCGAAAATGACTTAATTTCTTACTAGTTCTCTCCAAATAATTACAGATTTTGCTCGGGTAGATATTTAGTTAAATAATTATTTTATTCGTAAACGTTTTTAGATTTTGCTCGGGTAGATATTTAGTTTAATAATTCTTTTATTTGTAAACGTTTTTACATACTATAAAGGAAAATATGGGAGTTTTTAACTTTTTAGTTGCGGTTTAACGGTGTAAATGTCGCTTGATTGGCGGAAAATCAGCAAATACCAATTATAAAGAATTTCGTTTTTCTTTTTCGTGTTGATTTTCATTTCCTCATGCAGCTATCTTTTTTGCAGAATTTTGTTATCTTTTGACGCAGATTTAATATTTAGCACGTAGGTGTATCTATACACCGATAAGAAAATGTGTGGCATGTCACAAGAACTGATGAATAGCTTTTTACTTTGACATCAATGCCAAAATATTACAACATACATAAGATTGTCCGGCTTGAAATTTCTTGATTTATTCGCATTGCATTTATCATGTTTATCCAAATACATTTTTTTTTAAATTTGCCTTCCAAAAGAGTTAATTTTTGCTTCATATAATTTAATTTTCCTCATAGAGGTTGGTCCGCTTGGATCGGAAGTTGTTCATTGCATATAGCAACATATAGGGATTTCATACAAAACTCCATAACCTTTTGATCTCCTTGTTTGTTAGATGTTTAGAAAATTATGAAATGTTTAATTTGATTACCCAGTTTTGTTGACCCCTACGCGACGCGTTGCAGGGGACACAGAAACACCGGGCGTCCGTCCGTCTGTCCTTGTATCCATCCGTCAGTGCATACTTTTTTAACCATTTTTTTCACTGTCTTCAAGAGTTCAAGGCATTAACTTTAATTAAATCTCTCTCTTCGAGTTAAAACATAGATGCTTAAAGATAAATCAAATTGACATTAATGTTTCATTTTAGCTGTCAAAAAGTCTACTAATATAGAAAAGGGTGCTTCATGTGTTCAAGTTAAGCACTATTAGCATTTAACAAGTAACATTTGTCCATCCTGTACAATGAAGCCAGCATCACACACACAATCATGTAAGCAGTAAAGCCTCATTAGAGCCTAAACTTTCTTAGTTCTCTGCTTTGGAAGAGAAACAAAGTTTAGTATCTACATCTAAGTAATTCAACAAAACAAAATTTGACAAAATGTTCACTCTAGTTAAGAAATTGATACTCCTTTTTAGTTATGTAAAACATGAGGCCCGCGCCTCTATCAATCTATGTTTTGTTTGAGTGAATATATCCTACTGGTTCCACTAATACAACGATGACTGTCAACCTACCTTGATAACTTGCATTTACTGTTCTTGATCAGTCGATGGACAAGGCCTTCTTTTCTAAACGCAGTTTTAGTATTAAATGAACACATCATCATGCTTTCAAATATAAAAGAGATAGAACTTTTGTTTAATTATTCAGTGTCGGACTATTTGGGCGTCGGACCAATGGGGTGTTGGACTAATGGAGCATCGGACTATTGGGGTGTCGGACTAATGGGGTGTCGGAATATCGGGGCTGCCCCACTTTTTATCGTTTGTGCACCTTTTGACTGTTTTAAAAAGAGCTAGGTGCCATTTAAGTTATAAAAAAGAACTAACAAAACAATATTGATCCTATGAATATATGGGAAGACTGTTAATGAATTATTCTGCTATGACAAGGTATATAGAGTTTCGACTTTTCCCGTTTAAAGTTAGTCTTGGCTACTTGTATTGGTTTGGTTTAACTCAATGTGACCTCAATCACTATGCTATCAATTTTATCAAAAATAAAGTACATACGTTTTAATGCAAATGGATTCATAATTCGCTTTTCGACTTTAAAAGTCAAAACGAAACAAAAGGATTTTTTACTTTTTGCTTTACGATAATGAAATGGCATTATGAACAAGAATTAACACAAATCGCGTGATATCAGCGTCAAACCAATCTTTTTGTAAGAATAATTACCTCCATCTGCTTTCCGTTTACTCATTTTATCGTTGCTCAACTACAGACCAGGTCTAATGCTGCAAGCAAGTTATGCGACTTTCTTCATTTTGGTCGATATCGAAAGTTAAAAAATTGGAGTTTCCCTAGTTGCTATAAATAGATGGTACGATTATAGTTCAACATTTAAATATATACTGAATGAACATAACAACGAACAGAAAATCAACTGTGATCATCATACTGGGCTTTTTTTTTTATCATGGGGCACACAAAACACATTTTGTTTTTATAATGTTTATCCTGGTGTCGAAAGTACATGTATGATGAACAGTATGTTTAGAATTAAAGTTAGTCTAAGTCTTCTACAATCAAAAACGTGACTTATGCTTTAAAAACAAACAATCTACTGTATATGATACAACTTAAATTACATGGGCAATATATATGTTTTTATCTTCACTAACAGATAAACTTTGTATCAAAAAACCAGTATCAACATCCCTTCTTTTAAGACAATGCCAATTTAAGACCCTATAAATAGTAATCGGCCTGAAATTGTTTATTTCATTTAATTTAAGCCGACACTCTTATTTTTCAGTAGATTACAAAAGAGAGGCGAAAGATACTTAAAGTTGGAGACTAACTGACAATGTAATGGCAAAAAACGGGGGAAAAAACAAACAACAAACAACAGTTTACAAAACACGAGATAAAAAACGAAAGACAATATAGTATATGTATATAATTTGACAACAGGAAACAATGAGTCAAAAATTAAAAAGAATATTTAATGTTCCAATTGAGGGCCCTTGTTGGGCAGCATGGCATCCACACACACCTAACAATACACTGGTATTTCGTAAAACGTTATCACATTGAAATAAAATATTGAATTTTCATATAATTATTAACTAACATACATATTTCTTTATCTCAAATAAATCATGTACATATTTGACCCAGGAAGGACCAGAACCATAAACTCAGTAATATTTGCAAATTGAATGTGTTATTTTCAGTTGCACTTCCAAGAGTGGGATTGAAATAACAATATTACTATATGATGAGAAAATTAAAATACACGAAACATTTATAAAATGTTTACAAAATTTTAATAAAGGCATGAAAAGAATTAAGACATGTTTCCTCTTTTTTATGTTTTTCATTCACAAATAATTCTGTGTCAGACAGTTAATCTACTCTTATTCATAATATAGAATAAAAGTCGTTATTAAAAGGTTATATATAAAATTTGTAGAATTATAGGTTGCAGTCAAATAAATTGGAACAAAGAATTTTCTGTGTTTTTTGTTTATTTTTCTTTTTTACGTCATTCCATTCATTTATAATAGCACATGCTCATGTATATAAACAAATTTTGCTAATTGTTTACCTTTTAGGGATTAGCAGTTTCAAACTCAGTGACAATTTGTATAGGTATGGTTTCATTCTGTTCATGAAGGTTCAAGTTAAAATGCAATATATATTTTTTTTTTCATTTAAATGCTGATTTTGTTCATTTTTCTTCTTGCATGTGTCAATATTCATATTGAAAGACAAAAACAAGAAGAAAAACAAACTCTTTGGTATACTAAGAATAAAACTGAAAAATGTTTACTAAGTTGCATTAGCTTGAAAACAAAGTATATGGAAGGTCATGATGAAAAATCAAGGCAATATAATACTTACAAAATATCACTTACAAATGACTGCTCACCAGGCAAAGTAAGTTAACTTTATCAAATTGAGTAGTTCAAGCTACTTATATAGAATAACAGAACTATAACTTATTATAAAATATCAGTTCAAAATCAAAAAAAATTAGTACTGCATTAATCTCTTTATGCCGTTTTCTGTAATATAAAATAAATATTTTCTGTAAACATATAATTGACGGCCCTTCTTTAATAAAACTGTAAACCATGTGTATCGTATATACATGTATATTTGTAAAAAAAATCACATTTTGGTAATTCTTCAAAAAACGACATTGATAAAACAGATCAAGATATTCATCAAATTGTTGGACAGTGCAACATCAGACCAAAACAGCTATACCAATATCATATTTTTAAATGATTAGACCACTTGTCGTTAACTGTAAAACGCACAAGATACAATATCTAAAATTTAAATAACAGAATATACGCAAAAGGTCTGTCATTAACATGTAAGTATTAAAATAAAAGAACAACTTTATGATTTGACATTCGACAACTATTGAAAACGCTCCTGTCTTTGGACAGGCAAAATCATTATGTAGAGGTTATACTAGATTTTGAGCTTACTTGACAGCTAGGTATAAACTATAGTCTTTTCTACACATTGATATCGTAAAATATAGGCAAACTAATAAATTATCGGTTCAAATAACTCTCGTTTGTTATTTATCCATTTTTAGATGGTGACGTTCCCTGGTCACAATCGTATGGTGTTTATTTATCTCAGCTTGTTCGATTCACTCGTATATGTAAAAACGTATTTGATTTTAACGAAAGAAATCTCGGTATTACTGAAAAATTATTACAGCAGAGTTACAATCTAGTCAAAACATTTACTAAATTTTATCATCGGTACAAGGACATCATTCGTAAATATAAATCAACATGCAGACATCTTATACGTTCAGGTATTTCACACCCATTTTTTTATAGTAATATTCTTTACAAAGCACAAAAATGTCGGCATTCACCTCAATAGCTAACCAAACCTTTAAACAGACTTATTCAGAAGGGATATAGTTACGATACTGTTGTCAGGTCATTAAAGATGGCATATTTTGGTATTAAAATTGATTCACTCAAAGGGTCTTTGCATCGGAAACAAACACATTTATTATAAAACCTGTTGTTGTCATAATACGGGTTATGTTTTTCTCATATATTGTATGATGGCATGATACTAAACCCCCAACGAGAGGGACTGTGCTTGATTTTCATATGATGAAGACATAATCTTTCAATCAGTTTGATTGAGGTGTGGAGCTGGCATGATAGTAACTGCTAGTAGTCCTTTGTTAATTTATGTATCATTGTCATTTTGCCTAGTTTCTTTTGTTATCTATTTTGACATCGGACTCTGACTTCTTTTAATCTGAGTTTTACTGTGCGTATTGCTGTGTGTTTGGTTTTTTTCTACATTGGCTAGAGGTATAGGGGGAGGGTTGATATCTCACTAAACATGTTTAACCCAGCCGCATTTTTGCGCGACCAAAGTCAGGAGCCTCTGGCCTTTGTTAGTCTTGTATGATTTTTAATTCTAATCCATTTATTGGTCATTATCAAAAAAACATGCAAATATATGTTATTTGGTCTTTTTAAGTCACAGACATAAAAATATATCAAAATAACACTTGTATATGTTAGATATGAATGTTTTCTGATACACTATATACAGTTTACAGTATGAAATGTTATTAAAACATCCTTAATGTTTTCTGAAACCCTTGGATATAGCCAGAATTAACTGTTATTGGTTTCTTTAGTACCTTTCAGACCTGAAATAGGACTATTTATTCATATTCTTTGTTATTAGGATTTATCACAGTGACTATTTATTGCATTTAGATATATACAAACATTGTTTAATGGTTTGGGAAGTGTATGTTGGTTTTATAATAAAAATTTTCAACAAAAGAAGAGTCGCATTTTTTTTAAGTCACTGGTGTAACCAAAAGACAAATTGGTTGGGTAAGAGTTATCTTTCTCAAGATTTCAGCATTTACAAGTTTCTCACCTAGCAAAATTAATGTTACCTGTAAGCATGTAATGCAGACGACAAAAAAAATCTATGTTGGAAATTAGTGAAAAATTCTTAAAAGTAAGTAAAAACTGTATCGTAAATGAAATTAGTGTCCATGGTGTACCCCTATAAAAATCATTTTCCGAAAGATTTCCTAAACTTTGATTTATGAAAAGATATTGATTGTAGAAACATGCACCAGGAACAACATATAAAATAGGGGAATGGAGCACTTATTTTGCAACTAAATTTACAAATACACCAGTACGTCATTGGTGTTACTGTCAAGTCAATGGTGAGACCACTTTAATAAAGTAACACCATTGACCAGTTTAGTAACACCACTGCACTGACTATATTATGACAATCAGCAATTTTTTGTGTTTTTTTTCATGTTTAACAACCGAAACATCATATTATTTATGAAATTTAATCCTTATTTAACAATGTTTTAACAATATAATGTATTACCTATACCAAGTTTTCACAAACTGGTGTATGCTGGCAACACCAATGACTCTATTTAGTAACACTATTGACATTTTTAGTTATTGATGTTATATTATATAATTTGTGATTTTTTAGCCCAAGATTTTTTTTTAATTTTTTTTTGCTGAGTGTTCTTTGTTTTGTGTTCAGTACTTAATAAAAGTAAAATTTGAACTTCTTTGTCATTGTAGTTACTGAAGGGTCAGTGGTGTTACTATATAAAAATGCAATAATATTTATTTTTTATTAACAAATGAAAGTTTGTTTAGGCTGTATACGAAGGATTAGGTATTAACTTATCATTCAGTCTTACACATTTTACATATATTCAGTTTTAGTGTATACTTTAATATTAACAACAGCCATAATTAGGACAGCTATGTTTTTTACAACAATTTATTCTGAATTTTATGTTCAAATAGAATGCATAGCTATAAAAATAATGTCAATAAGTAGTAATGTAACCCTTAACAACAAATTGGAACAGTTGTTTGGTTTTTAAAAATATTTTTTAATAGCTAAATGCATGTTTTTATCTTGGTAACACCATTGACATGATTCTATCAAGGATGACCTAAAATTGTTAAAATTGAAGGAACTCCTAATTTTCCCCATTGCATATTTATGAATATAGTTGCTACCATATTTCAGCATAGCAGGACATATTTTAATTTTTAAAACAATGACATCAGTTTCCCGAAATTTCCCTATTCGAAATATGCATGTTTTTTTATAATGACCCTTATATGTTTCAGAGTTAAGTATGACGTCCATTTTCACTAGTACACATTTTTGTTTATGGGACTGCTGAAGCCGCCTCCGGGTGCGGGATTTTCTCGCTGTGTTGAAGACCAATTGGTGGCCGTCGGTTGTTTTCTGCTCTTTGGTTGGGTTGTTGTCTCTTTGACATGTTTGA